TTGTCACTTATTAAACTGAGTTGTTTCTTAATTGTTGGGGTTTTAAGAGTTTTAAAAAGTATACTCCAGATATAAGGTCTTTCCCCGAGTCTGAAACACTGTGGATTCATTTGTCTGGGCCGCTCTAAACCCAGTTCAATGTAACTAAGTACGATTAAATGGGTGATAGTTCAAATCCCTGTGCAGTCCTTCATACCTCAGATTTCACGATGACATTGTGGGAAGAGATAGCCAATGAAGTGTCACCACCTGTGTACCTTCCTTGAAGATTACTGAAAAGGTTAGTTGATTTGGGATCTGCTTTTAGAAAGCAATTGTTAAAGAATACACATAAACCAAGAGGGAGAGACATCCAAACCCGCAATATTCAGCAGTATCACTGAGAACCCAGGGAAAATTTGCTCTGAATGTGGGGGCCACACCCTAAGGACACTCAGCCTGGACCCCCTGTGACTCTTGCAGGCTCAGGGGGACTGGTTGCTGGAAGGATGGTGGACTGAATGACTGTGGGACACCCATGTTAACAAAGCCTTTTGTTCTGAGGCAGGTTAATGTTAAGGCCTCCTACCTTCCCTTTCAGTGATCCCCCACCTGTGTCTGAACTCTCTATTTGCTTCCCCAACCAATAATCTGAAAAGCTCAAAAGTGATAGACAGTTAACTAAATGCATATTCCGTAGGGCAGTATTTTACAAAATATTCACCAGACTTTATTTATCTAGTCTATTGTTAATTGGTTAGCTCATCCTGTTGTTCGAATATCCATATCCCTAATGGCTGTTAGCTGTTAAAACATTCTAGTACTTATCTTCTGGTGCACGTATGTGCTAATGTTTCTGCTCACTGTGTATCAAGAGTGAGAGACTGCTGGGTCAGAGGACTGTTGTGTATTCAGCTTTAGTAGATACTGTGAAGTCATTCCAAATGGCTGTACACTCTCAGTGGCAATGAATGGGAGGTCTGATCACGGAAACATCCTCACTTGCATTGCTAGTATCTATAATTTTAAGTATTCTGATGACTGTGAGTTGTACTGAACTGTGGTTGGAATTTTATTTTATTTTTTTCTGTTCTTACTGATTTTTTACCTTAATTTTTTCAATGGTCAAAAGAAATTTGTTGATGTGTTCCTAGCCTGGTATATGTGTATTTTGGTAACTATTCCATGTGCCTGTTATAAGGGTATATTCTGCAGTTGCTCAGTATATGTTCTAAAAATGTCAATTAGGTTAGTTTTGTTTATTGTATAGTTTAAAATTTCTGTATTCTGGATGGTTTGGGTTTTTTTTTTTTGCCTTATTCTATCAGAATAGTGCGATAGTTTTGTTAAAAGTATATTTAACTGGGCCGGGGATTTAGCTCAGTGGTTTCACCGCCTGCTGTGCAAGCGCAAGGACCCAAGTTCGATCCCAGGTACCAAAAAAAAATTTTGGCCAGGGATTTAGCTCAGTGGTTCTGCCACCTGCCTTGCAACCACAAGGACCTGAGTTTGATCCCTGGTATCAAAAAAAAAAAAAAAAAAAAAAAATATATATATATATATATATATATATATACACACACATGTATATTTGACTCAGATTGATTGTGAAGTTCAGTTTTTTCTTTGGTTCTGTCAATTTTTTGCTTTATAAATTTTGAACTTGTTTTTGGATCATAGATATTTAACATGATTATGACTTCCTGATGTATTGAATCTTTGATCTCTGTGAAATGTCCCTCTTTATCTCTAGTAAATCTTAAAATCTCCTTTGTCTGCTACCAATATAGCTTCACTGGCTTGTTTTCATTTGTGTTTATAAGTGTGAAAAACTTGTATTTTCCAAAGGCATCCACAATATTTCCCATCCTACTGCCCCCTTACAATGAGTCCTTGATAGTCCTCTGTTGGGATGATGGGGTCTATATGGCCTTCCCTTGAAACCTGGAGTGGAGTACAGAAGACATGACACACCGTGACTTCTGAGGCTAGATCATGAAAAATCAGTGCACTTCAGTCTTGTTCATTTGGGTGAAACTTGTGGCATTTAGCAACCATCCTTTGAGAAAGCTCAGACCGGTCCACATGGGGCGAGTGCATGGAAGACCATCCCAGGAACTCTGGCCAGGAGCCCAGCAAGTCCAGCATGAGCTGCCTCTGTGACAGCAGCCCCACTGGCGGGTCAGCCTCTGCCCTCGCATCTCCCCGTTCCTCCTATCCCTCCAGCCCAGCCCTCTGAAAAAGTAGAAACCCAGCTAACCAGGCCCTGTGCTCGCCCAGGGGCCTAATTACCAACGTGATAACATGCTTGTTTTATGACACTAAACTTTGAAAGTATGAGCAATAGTAACTGGAACGGTAGCATACATTCTCTTTCCTTCGTTGGCCTTTGTGTATTTTTAAGGTGTGTCTCTCATAAATAGTAGGTAGAGTTCTAAAAAATTGAGTCTGAAAATCTTCTTCTTTTAGTTGGAACAACCTATTTAAATTTTTGTATATTTAGGTTTAAACCTACTGTCCTACTTTTTTCTTATTTGTTATGCTTCTTCAGTATTCCTCTTCTATTCTTTCTTTCCTTGTTTTAGGTTGATTGTATTTTATTCACTTTTTTCCTTTTTAGCTATGCACTAGTTATATATTCTCTTGTAAAAATTTCTAACAATTACACCAGAAATTGCAACATTCTGGACTTTCCACCCAAGTTTACAGTTTCAGATAACCTTTCAAGATAACTGTTGTCAAGCTGAGACAAGAAAGACACGAATCAGAGTTAAAAGGAAGAAATTCAGTTGTGATTACTAACACCAGGAGATAGTGTGGTCTACATAGATCAGAAACCTATGAGTTTTTGAAGGGGTCATCTTTTTAAAGAAACTAAGAGTTTTCAAAAGCCTTTGGAAGCTGGACGTGGTAGTTCTGGGAGGCTGAGGCAGGAGGATCATAAGTTCGATCCCAGTCTGGGCAATTTATGAAGAGCCTGTGTCAAAAATAATAAAAGAAGGCTAGGGCTGCAATGCAGTGTGAGGATTCAGTCCCCAGTTACAGCCCCCCCCGACCCCCCCAACCCCCGGACATTCAAAGCCTGTGGATGGTATACACTTTAAAACAACCCTGGAGTCCCCAAATTTCCATGAGCAAGACGCAGTCTGCAAAAGTTATTTCTCCTTCAAGGAAGACATGCTCTGCCATTCCACTTCAAGTGTGGCTATGAAGGATAACAGGCAAAGAAGCACCGAGGGAAGAGCCAGAGGTAAAAGAGAACAACAGATAAGAGAGTTCCTTCAGAGAGCACATCCTGGTTAAATCACAGATTTCCCTGCCTGTGGGGCAGATAGGCCCAGGAATCACAGGACTTCTATATCTCCCCTTCCTCTTTGAGGAGAAGGGAACTTTTTTCCTGGCCAGAACACAAAGTGTTGCGCTCAGGCCTGAGGAAGAGGATGTACCTGCTGGAGACCTAGCCCTTGCAGGGTTGATGCAGCAGTTGCCACATAGGATGCGAGGCTGTTTCTTTTGGGAGGCAGTGAATGTGCTCTGTGAGTGGGAAGAAGATACTGTGGATAGACTGCCTGGAGGGGTGCATTGTGGCTGAGACTGCCCTGCATCAAGAAATGGATGTCCACTTTCCTGGACATCCAGGACCTTTCCCACGGCCCTTATTTTCCACCCTCCCTTGCAAGAAAACTTGGCCTTGCTGAATTGTAGACAATGGAATATAAGTGGGAGGGAAGTGGCAGTTTTCAGATGTGGCCATGAAAACTTCCTGGGAGATTCTCTGAGCTGTCTGCCGTTTTGTCTTGATGCTGATGAACACCATGACATTAGGAGTCATGCTTTCAAAATTGTGGACCGCCAAGACAGAAAGGGCCTCAGTTCCTGCGACTCTGCTCAGGCACCTGGTTTGGAACTTATTGCAGTGAGAAAGCAGTATCTGTTTGATATGGCAGCTAGCATTATCCTAATACACAAAGGTGTCACACCCCAACCACACACAAAGCTCTCTCTACCCTAACATGGCGTGCAAGAGGGGAGGGATATATTTTAAGTCTCTCAATCATGATGGTTTTTCTAAGTGGAAAAGTAAGTTGAATTTTAAGGGAGAAGTCTGTAAGCTGCATCTGGGAAAAGTGGGCTTCCCTCTTTCTGTAGCAAGGAAGCCCCTGGAACCCCAAGGGAAGGAGGCAGCGAGTCCCTGGGAGAACAGAGGAAACCAAAGTCAAACAGAATTGTGGATACTTCAAATTCTTCACATCCACTTGGTGACAGAGATATGATTAGAGCCAGGTCTCTGCTATCACTGAGGGCAGAAGGCAGGAGACAGGCACACACCCACACTTATGTTTTAGCAGACAAGGGAGAATGGATTTCTTTAGTCTTATGGTTTTTCTTACAAATTCACACCAATTTTACATCACCATATATCTCAGTGCTTTTAATGGGAAAGGAAGTTTTAAGTTATTTGCCATAAAATAAAGAGAACTCTCCAGGAAGATGTTTATCCATCCCTGGACACCCTGCTGCTCCCCCTCAGGCAGGCTTAGATCCCAGTTTGAAAGAAATGGCTTGATCATGGATGCAAAACTATTTTCATACTAAGGCCTGGGCCTGTGGGTCCTTTCCCTCCCGACCCCTTTTCCTATAGTTTCTGGCCAATGGTCCCCCATCCAGCTCCAGTCTTCAGAGTCAAGCCTGAGAGGCAGATCTGCCAAATGCTCTGAGGCTCCGGTCAGTACCCTCACCTTCAGAAAGCTTCCTGTGGCCCTTCCAAGACCCCTAGTTCCCTGCCCTGGCCCACTGCTGCCTGGCCCCCAGAGGCACTGATACCTAGCACTCACCATGGCCTGTTGCCATTAGTCTGTTTGCCTCCTCCAGAAAGGGGGATGCCTGGAAGTACTCAGTCACATTGCTGCATGAGTGAGCTTAGGTAGCTGCTCTGTGTCCCCAGGCCACTCCTCACTGTGCCCCCAGCGCCCTCCCCACTGGTCACATCTTTGGGTAAGAGCTCGGTTGTGCACACTCACTGGCTGGGTGAAGGGCTCCGGAGGTAGTGGGCCTGCACTGCCCTCACGTCGTCTTCATCTTCCTCTCCCGGAACCACCTGCTCCTCCTCTGGGTCCCTGCTGGTCGCCATGATGGCCTGTCAGCCTGTCAGTTTGGCAGGGGAAAGACGGTTAGGGAGTCAGGTTCCAGAGCTTTGTAGGGTGAGAGGATGTGTCCGTAGTGTCACCTTGGGAATGGCAAGGGGAAGGCTACCACATGTTAGTACCTGAGAGGGTAAAGGACCCAGCCCAGCTATGTTAACAGGACACCAAGAAGCTCACACCAGCTGGGTTAGCAGCCACCTTAGGGACGTGGTATTTAAGAAGGAACAGTTGGCTCCTTTCACAGCTGCTAGCAAGGAAGTAGTGAGGGGAACCAGTCTCCACTATGGCAAAAGAGGTTGAAGCATAATTAATTCCTCAGACTAGAAAGATCTATTGAAATTATAGGGTGTCCACGCACATACACACACACTGCACTAATGGGCACCCCTGCTGTTTCTGCAGGGAGAGGTGGTGCTGGCCTTCCTCGGAGTCTAATGGAGGCCATGCGAGTCAAGGCCTTTGGCTCAGGTGCCGTCCACAGCCTGTTAAGCCGCACAAAGCCCCCTGCAGCTAGTCTCAGACATCCCAGTGGGGCCCTGCTGCGCAGAGCAGAGCTGCCATCTCTAGTTGGGGCTCTTGGAGATGGAAGGAGGGAGAAGCACACTCACCACCGGCCAGCCTGTGTGTCCACCCCAGGGCTGAGGTCCCAGATGAAATGGCCAGAAGCTCCAACCAGTGAGAGGGGACCCAGCACTCACTCCTCCTCCTGGTTTCTTCACTGAGGGCCAGGACAGCTGTTAACAAGAAACCCTAGCCACTCTCTAAATTTAGCCTCTGGCCCTGCGGGCTGGCAGGAAGGAATGCAGCTCTCAGGACCTGTCCTAAAGCAGGCCTCCCTTAACTCTTTCCCTTCTCCTGGCTCCCTGGACACTGACCTTCAGCAGTAGAGTTGGAAGAAGCTCACCCTCTGTAGATGAAGAGGCCAGAAGCGATGGTTTCCTCTGGCTGCTCTCCACATCCTCCCGCCTGGGATTGCCTACTCAGAGTCCTTCCAGAAGACAATCTAAATCCACTAGTCAGAGGGAGTAAATGAACTTACCTCGGCCTCCTGGCAGCTTACAGAGGCCTAGAAAAAAGCCCAATACAGCCCAACGGGGAGGGTCCATAGATAGATTAGATAGAAAGACAGACAGACAGACAGACAGACAATAGGGAACACTGTGGTGTGATTGCTTGTGCCTAGGATAACATTTCTTTTAACAGAAATATCTCTTCTCAGTAAACTGGGCAATTGTACTTCCCCTTCACATCCCCTACCTGTATTCCACTTGCGGCCCTTGGTGACGGACAATTGACAGGCCTAGGTGACAAACATTCTGTGAACTTCATCATAACCAACCCTGCCTCACTACACTCCAGTCTCCATCATTATTGTCAAAACAAAACCCGTACCCTCTTGTCCTATATTCTATGATTACTCCTCTATTCATTCTTCTATCCATCCACTCACTGGTCCACCCATTTGCAAATATTTGTTGATTACTTACTATGCATCAGGCATTGTACTTGACCAAAATTAATAAGACACATAGCTTAAAGTTGTCTTTCTTCTTAGGTAGATGGAACCACGCCCAGCAAATAGTACCCTTAGAAATTGGCTGAATGAATGAGTGAGCTCACCATTTATTAAGAGGAATGAGACATGGATCAAAAATAACCCATGCATAAGACAGAATGAAGTTAGGGCCCTAAAAGAGACCAGAATGCTGTGTGAATTCAGAGGAAGGAGAGAGCCCTTCTGATGGAAAAAATCAGGAAATGCTTCATGGAAGAAATGGTGATATATGGGCCAGCTTCTAAAGGACAGGTTAGATTATAATAGCTGATATAATAGGGGAAAGGAACTACAGAGGGGACAATGTGGGCAAATTTTTGGGCTAGGAAAGTAGTAAGAGTTGTGGGCGTGAAGAGACATCTAACTGAGTCAAAGCATAAGCCATACATCCTGGAAGGTAGGTTATGTTGTAGAACAGATGCATGAATACTTAAAGGCCAACCTAAGGAGCTGGATTTCACTTGTTAGGTTCTGCAGAATCAGTGATAGGAACAGAGCAGAAAAGTGACGTCCTCAGGGCAGTAGCAAGACTGACTTGGCAACTGTACTATAAAGTATCAGGGCTGAAAAATTATTACACACAATAAAAGAACTCAACAAGGTGGCTAAGTAAAATGCAGTAGCTTTTGTATGTCAAACAAACCTAGCATAGCTCAGTGGTGCTACACCTGGGTGGCAAGCACAAGGTCCTGAGTTCAATTCCTTGGACCAAACAAACCAATCAACCTATTAGCTACAAAGTATTGATAAAATAATTTATATGGGAAATTCTGAATCCATAACACAAATAAATAATGGGGAAAGTATTTGTAATACTTATCACATCCAAAAGTTAGTTTCCCTAATACACAAAGAGCTACAAGAAATCAACAAGCTAAATACCAAGAACCTAATAAAAATATGGACAAGCGAACTACCTAAACTCAGAGAATGAAATACAATATAGTATAATATGAGGTATGTCTGAAAAATATGGTGACTGTTTAAATTTTTAAAAATTTATTACAGCAAAAGACCCATTGGAATTAAATCCTCTCAAAATCCTTCCCCTTGCTCTGAGCACACTTATCCCAACATTCTTGCCACTTTCTGAAGGAGTTCTGGAGGTCTCTTTTGAAAGTATTTTTAGTTGTGTTATCATGGCTGCCTTGATGTCCTCATTTGATTCAAACATTCATCTTCCTTGGTCATTTTGACTTTGGGGAAGAGCTGGAAGTCACACGGTACCAGATCTGGTGAATGAGATGAACGAGGACACAGTGTCACGTTTTTATGAGCCTGCCTTTCTGTTGGATGGCACTTGGCAGCAGCATTCACCATAGTTTTTTTTGATGTTTTTTTTTTTTTTTTGTACCAGGGATGGAACTCGGGACCTTGGGCTTGTGAGGCAGGCGACAGAACCACTGAGCTAAATCCCCGGCCTTATCACCATAGTTTTGATCACACCTCATAAAGACACTCAGATATTTTGTTAAGTGAAAAAAAATATTTAAAAACTATTACAGAACAGTGATACATATACTTACATAAAATATCTCTATATTCTATATAATAAAATATATGTAGATATCTATATATGTATTATATAGATATATAATATGTACTGTTATAGATATATTATGCAGATATACAGAGAGAGACAGATATAGATATATATAATATCTACAGGAGAAACTGACACCAGTGGCTACTCCTAGCGTTTCCTACAGGATTTATCACACTTTAGGTAGGGTGACCAGCATCTCAATTTGCTTGGGACTGAGGCAGTTCCCAGGACATGACGTTTTTGGGCTAAAAACCTGGAAAGTCCCTGGAAGACTGCCACAGGGTGGTCACATTATCTCCAGGATTATCTTCTTTGTTTACTTGGGCATTTGCTATGTTCCCGACCAGATTATAAACTCAGAGGGAAGGGGCTTCCTGTCCTCTCCACAACGTTGTGTCTGCCCTGGTATGGGGACTGAGAACAGGATGGAAGTAGATCAAATCATATTGGGTCTCAGACGGTTTCAGCAAACATGGGAAACACCCTTCTTTTACTACCTCGGAATCCCACCCTTTCATAATGTGGCAGCAGCTTCCGACAGTTATGAGAGGCCCACACCTTAGTGTGAGGCCCAGGACTTTGGACACCTGCTCACTGAGAAGGCAGGGAGGTGCCTGGCTCCAGAGGAAAGTAGGGAAGACTCCTCTTGGGACCTTCAGAGCAGTAGGTGGAGCACAAGCCCAACCCCACAGGTGAGTTCATCTGCCAGTCCAGAGGAGGGCGGGCCTGTGGGCCAGGCTGGGCAGAAGTGGGCAGAGACCTCAGGCTGGCTAGGCCACAGGCTGGTGCGGGCCACTGGAGGGCTTGGAGCAGAGAGGGAGCAAGACCTCAGAGTGAAAGATGCTGCCTGTGCTGTGGATGCTATGTGCAGGTGAGTGAGCCCCGCTCTCAGGTAGCGCCCTGGGGTGGGTGAGACATAGGGACCTAGGGCTGGAGGAGAGGCTGCTGGCCAGAGCTACTTATTCTCCATTCCAGGCCAGTGCCCAGACCAGAATGGTTTTCATTTGCATATTAATAAATAAAACCCCAGCCCTTTGCTGGAATGAAGAACTCAAAGTACCCTCAAGACCATTTTTTTCCTGTGCCCAATTGGATCCTAATGTTACCGGGTTTCAGGGTGCAAGAATCTCCTTCTAGAGCTGCTTTCTAGGTTCTTTCAGTCCTGAGCAAAGAATTGGTTGAGACAAGCGCAAAGGTAATAAAGTTTTACATTTACTAAAGACAGGAAAAGAAACAGGCTCTGCAAAGCGAATTCGGGCCAAGTAAAAGTAGGAAAAACATTACACTCGACAGGAGAAAGTGGTCTACAGTGAAAGAACACAGTAGCAAAGAGCTTAGAGTCTACTGTCCTTTTGTATCACCATTCCTGATCTGATGCCAGGTTTAGGCTCTCCTGTCAAAAACCTGCTTGAGCTCTCGAGAGAAGTCCACATTGGGGCTTCAGGAACTGTTCTGCGCATGTGTCCTGGGGTTTTGTGATTAACAGGTCACGCCTATTTCCCCTGCCAGTTTTGCCACACCCTGATCTCCTGTCTCCTTAGGATCAGATATCAGAGCTCACTGTAGTAGGGACAAAGTATTTGAATCTGGGTTGTCCTGGAAAATGAATCTAAATACATTTGCTATCTGGGACTTTAACTGTTGCCTCAAAACCAGAGAAAGACACAAAGATAAGGATGTTAACATGTATAGGGAAACTGAGGCAGAGAGACAAGGCAATTTACAAAATATGCACAGAGCAGCAACAAACTAGAAGGCTTTTGCCAAAGGCCAAACCTCCTCAGGTCTTTATGTACTCTGGGCTTTGAAAACTCTGAAGAACGGGAACCTCCTGCCCACAGATAGACTCCAGACATTTATAGATCTATGGTTGATTCCAAATCAAGTGTTATGTAGCAAAATCATGTGGGGATCCGTGGAGTGGATAAGGGTTGGAATGGAAATCTTGGATGTGAACAGCAAGAGGGAAGTAGAGAAAAGGGAGTTTGGGCAATTTGAGGCATACCTTTAGTCAGTGCCTTGAGCCATCAGCTTACCATTCAGAAGCTGTTGTGGGCTTCCAGGACCTGGCAGTGATGGGGAGGTAGTAAGAACTGTACTGGGAAACTCCCCAAGCCTGGGGAAGTGGTGCTCTAGAGTTTGGTTTAGAATCCCGTCAGTACCTGGGGGAAACCCTGGACTACCAGCCCCCCTCCAGCACAGTTCCCCCAGCCCCAGGCCCCCTTTGCTGCCCCAGCTCTCAAAACCTAGCCAAGAGTCAGGGCAACCTGCTGCTAGAGGAGGGCTGGGTTCAATGGCTGGGAGGTAGATCCAGAAAAAATGAATTAGCTCAGAGGGCTCAAGCTATGCCCAGAGGTCCATCTGCTGAGGGCTGCAGGCTCTCATCGTCTACTTAGATGGCTGGGTTTATTTATTCTTCAACAAACAACTCTTTACTGAGCACATGTGAGGTGTCAGGACCCTAGAGGTGAGGAGTCTGGAATGACCAGAGTCCCAGCCATCAGATCCAGACAGGAGGATGCTGCAGGCCCCGAGGGACAGTGGCTGAAAGGAAGTGACCGTTCTGTCCCAGTTGGGCCAGTGATTTGCTGACCATCTCCTGAGCCAGACTCTCCTCCATGCCCTACGTTTAGTCTGGCAGTGATCTATGCAGGGGTAAAAAGTAATGTGGATTTGGGGAAAAACGTGAGCACAGCTGCTCACTAGCTTAGAATGAAAGGCCCCCTAGCCCTGAATAGCCTGGAGCAGGCCCTTTTGCCTCTTCTTCCAGGTGACTTCATCTAGCAGACCAGTTCTCGGGCATCTGTTTCAACACACTGATAAAGTGTCTTCTCCCCTCACTGCCTTGCCTCCCCCTCCCAGCAGCTCAGCCCAGAATCCAATGCCCACTGGCTTTTCTCCCTCCACATCCACTCTAAGGGGAAGAGACAGAGCTGTGGAGCAGAGGGAGCCGGGCACGGTGCCTACCTGAGGCACATGGACAGACTTTGCCACCAGGAAGTAGTATTTAGTGGTGAAGCAGTCATTGCCATCCCTGGGAGAAAAGAGGGCCTTAAAAGATGAACTCTGAGTGTCCCAGCTTGGAACAGAGGCCCAGGTAGGAGCAAGGAAATCAGAGAGGGCTTCCTGGTAGAGGTGGAGCCTAAGTTGGGTTCTAGAGGACCTACTGGTTTCCTTCCTCCTTTCTCCATCTGACTGTGCCAATAGATTTGGCTGGGAGGGAAACACCAAGCTGATGAGATAGGCCCCAGTCTCATCAAACTTAGGGGAAGCAGAAGATATCATCAAGGCCAATGCAGGTGGCTAAAGTCCGCACACTAGGAAATGTAAAATAAATAAAACTGTAGCACATGCCGACAATTCCAAACAAAGGCAGTGACAAAATGCACCTCCCTGTCAGGGACATGTTCCAACCACCCCCACCAGGCACTCTAGGGCCATCACAGACCCTCAGGGGGCCTGACCCCAGCCCCTCTTCCTTAGCTAACCGCAGTATGGGGCAAAAACTTCACCTGGCAAAACTCAGTTTCCCAGACTGTAAAATGGAGAGGGTAATTCACAATGTGTAAAATTCCATTTTCCTTCCCACAGGATTATAACAGATATTAACTGAGTTTGCACATATGAAGATCTTAGAGCAGTGCCTAGGACATCATAGGCACTCAATAAGTGCTAGTAATTATTATTGCTGTTATTATTCATCAGGCAAATGTAGTGTCTCAGTCAGATAATCAATGAGACTTCAGTGAGTGGGTGATCTGAGAGTTCTAATCTGGGTGATGCTGGCCAAGAGGTCACTGTGCTAGAGCCCTAAGCTATTACCAAAAAGCCACCATTGCCTCACCCCTCCCAAAGGCTGCTAGAGAAAATGCTCCAATATGTGCACAAAATTAAGTCTCTGGGAAAAATTTTCAGCAGCTGGACACCTTGAAAGGTTTGTGATAGGAGGTCTGGATCAGGAAAAGAGATACATTAAAAAAAAAAAAAAGACCCATCTGGAACACTCCAGGGCAACAAAGTCATCCAGCATCTCTGCCAGGAGGCACTGACATTGTTGAGGACCTGAAAACACACACACACACACACACACACACACACACACACACACAAAATCTGCCTTCCTGGAACTGCAGGAAGCTTCCTTGTTTTCCTAATTTACCTTAAGTTACAAAGTACTGCATTACACAGAAAATAAAGAAATCTATCATCGTAAAATATCCTACCAGATTAAAAAAATCTTTTTCTCCTCTAAAATCAACCCATAGGTCGTCAAACCCATAGGTGGTCAAACCCATGGTGGGTTTTAGTGAGAACTAAGTTTCTGGGTCACCTTTTGAAGCTGTTCACACCCGCTGGAACCCTCCTTGGCACCAGGTCAGAGGCCCTGTCCCCAGCTGGGGGCTTTCCCTGAGTGAGGCCTCATGTTGATTCATCTGAAGCCCAGGTGAAGAGTCCCCTGGTTGGCCCTGCCTGGGAAGCGTGTCTGAGCCCAGTGTCACTTACATGACTAAGCTCCCTGCCGTGGCCTGACCCACCCAGGCTGAGCTCAGGTCAGAGGCACACATCTGATGAGAATCAGATAAGAGCATCCTGCTTGTGTCCTTAGAATCTCCACCCCAAGAAGGTGGTGTGTGTGCTAGAGCCAGGGCAGTGTGAGCCTGAAAGCACAAGTGTAAGACCGGCAGCCTGCCCTCCATCTGCTCCAAAGCCCTGGGCCTGTGGCCCCTCTAATCCTAAGGCCTACCTCTTCCGGAGCCTGGCCACAAGTCAGAGCCAGTGTTTGTGTGGGAATCACACTGCCTGCCTGAAGAGCTGTAATCTAGATTAAAATGACTCAGTCCAGCCTGGGTCCTTGATCTAGTCCCAGCCCTGAAGAGGAAAGGGTGCAGGGAATGGCCAGTCAAGAGGAATATGTGTTAAAAGTGGGAGGAGTGACAGTTTAGGACAGTGGCTATCTGCTATGGTTGCCCATTAGAATCACCTTGGGAATAAAAAAAAACTCCCCTAGGCTCCCCCATACCTTCTGAATCTGAAACCAGAGGGCAGGATCTGGGCTTCTCTCTGATTTAAAAAAAATTACCTATGTGGTTCTGATGTGCAAGTCCAGGGTTAGAGTTACAAATGGAGCTGGAAGAAATGTTAGTTTAATGATCAGTCACTTCTGATACTCTTTGTGTGAACTGAAGCTCAGTTTTGCATCACCTGGGTGCTTTCCTGGGTTACTGTCCAACCTCTGTTTTGGTGCCTGGACTCAGGAAGCCTTACTGCATGTATTCTGGCTATACTGTGTGCCTAAGTCACCTGGGGACCTGGATAAAATGCAGACTGATTCAGTAGGTCCAAGACAGGGCCTGAGATTCTGCATTTCTGTCTCCCAGGTGATGATGCTTTGTGTCCAGGGACCTCAGTTTGAGAGCCAAGGCTCTAGGAAGACTTGTTTATGGACACCAGTGTGATTCCCACTTTGCCTTTTCCCTCCAGATCCCAACCCAGGGCTTCTCAGGAACCCAGCTGTGCTGCTTGCTGTTGTTTTTTGGGGGTTTTTTTGGTAGCAGGGATCTAACTCGGGTCCTTGCCCTTGCAGGGCAGATGGCAGCACCACTGAGCTAAATTCCTGGCCTCTGTGCTGCTTGCTGTGATGTTGGTCACCAGGAGACCTGGGGATAGTGTGCCGGGCCAGCTAATCTCTCCACCTCTTCCAAGATGCTCTGTTCCATGACACATCCTCTCCTATTTCTCCTCCTCCACTGGACCCTTGCTCCTTTCATTTCTCCTTGGCAGCCTAATTCCATAGAGCGTCAGCGCTCCTCACACTCAGTCCGAGATTCTTCTAGTTTTACCGTGTGTCCACACCCATATCCAAAGCTCTAG